CCCCGACATCGTTGATTACGAGGCACTTCTTTCTTTCTTTCTTTCTTTTTTACATTCATTTTTCTGTTTTCATGTACCGGACACCAAGCTGCCCCAAGCCCCCGATTTTTCGGATGAGGCTCAACTTGCAACTTTGTGCTTTTGCCTGTGAAAGGTAGTGGTCCCGGGAAGACGGTAGTCTGCTTGGGTGACTGCCTCTTTTTTCTTCTTTTTTTTTCCAGGTATCACACTGATCAGAAAAAGGAACTACACTTGATCTCAGCCAAAAGGGGCGAGGTCCCATTAGCAGTCGGATAGGAGTGTGGCCAATCCAGTGTGACACTGAGTGGCAGCGGCCAGACAAGTTCATTACGAATTTCTGGGCTGAGAAAACAGGAAAAAGGCCAAAAAAAAAAAAAGAAACAGAGACATCCCACCCGAAATCACGGCAGAGTGCTTCCCAGCCATCAGAGCACAGATGATCTGATGGTGGTGGTTGCAAAAACAGTCAACAAAGTAGCTGCCACATTTTCTGGAATAAACTCCACTTCTGTCAGCAGTGATCCTGACACCCTCCATATACTCCGTGATTGAAGGAGGGCTCCACCCAATGAGATAATTGCACAACAGCAAGTAAAATTCTGAAATCTTCTATCCAGTGGGCTGAGGCCGCCCCCAACCTTGTTTGGGGTTGGCCACACCCCCAACCGATTGAAAAGATTCTGGCGGGAAGCTTTCTTTGCACGGCCATGCCCAGTGTTAAGGAGAGGAGGAGGGGAACAAAGATCTCCTTACTTTTTCGGGTTATACATGTAAAGTACTGACCTTGGGATCACGAGTACTGCATGGCAAGATTTGGGTCACTCAACTGCCCCACAAACTCGTTTTTATCCTATCCCGTTGCTAGTGGGACCTCGCCCAAGGTGCAGAAACCCTTTAGGATGGAATTGAAATTTAAATCGAAGTGCCTTATTTAAATAAATAAAAAATATAGGTGCCTGACGGCGCCTTCAGTACTGCTCCTGTTGTCTATGAATGAATGCCACGTGTTGCCTTCCCCCCCCTTTCTCCATGGTCGTCACCTCCGCCTCCACTGTGTGCCTCCCATCCTAAAAAACCCTTCCTGCTGCATTTATTCCCGCCACGTGGCAGCCGTAAAGGACGCCCTACGTGGGAGTCCTACTATTCCATGTCATTGGCCTTTTTCTCGGCAAGCTACTCTCTCACCGCACTTACAACTTTGCCCCCGCCAAAAGCCTCCCCAACACTGCSCCCCCCCCCCCGCCCCCCCCTTCCAAAACGCGTTGACTGTTCCCAAGCCTGTTCCCAACGGCCGGTCCGTGATCGACCACCAGGGGGCTGCCATCTTCCCCTGAACAGAACGCAGGGTCATCATAGCTGTATTTGGGGCAAGTTTCGGCCCAGATACAGAGATAAAGTGAACCATACGTTCTATTCGGGGGAAGCTGACAGGTCCCCCTCGCCCCTGTTCGTCGGTGTTGACGGTACATTGTGCGCAGATCCAATCCATTATCCATGGCCATAGTACGACCGATGCCCCGGGCAATCTGACTATTCCGTCTCTCTAACAGGATTGTCTTCATCAAGAGCAAAAATTATGTCCAGCACCTCACAGGGATTGCAAGAAAAAAAAAAAAAGCAAAGCGAAACTTTGTTTCGTACAACCCAGAAATGAGCGGATTTCAAATCTTTAATTATTTTAATACCTGATCCGTGCTCCATCGGACCCCATGATAGTAATTTAATAAGAAAAAAAAAAAAGGTCGAAGAAGGAGAAAACGGAACACGATCTCCTACTTTTGTCACAGCTCAAATCAAAGAAAAGAAAAAGAAGTGCGCGTTTGCTGATATGAAAAAAAAGTGAATCGGGCGCGGGTCATAGGATTAGTTTTGCAGCAGAATTTTGTTTCGTAAAACACCCGAATGAGCGGCGGGTTTGCTTAGCTCACATTTTATTTTGTAAAAGGCGAATCATCTGGAAAAGATACACAAAAGCAAAAGATAAGAACGGCCCCGGTGCAAGGATGGCACGCATATTAAATCAATCAAGAAGCGGTCCAGAAAAAAGAAAAAGAAAAAAAGTTAAGGAAAAGTGAACCACCCCATTATTTTGATACTAGATGAATTCTATTACTAACTAGTGGACAGGCAGAGGACTGCCTTCTACACAAAATATTAAATCTATGCGATTATCGTCATATTGATTAAGACTTTTTTCAGTTTTCGCTTCTTCATCCCTATAGAGTTAATCTTCAAGTTTTCTGCTTTCCTCGTCGATCCGCGGCCATGCCCCACTTCACGAGGTTAGTAGTTTACTTCTGCTTTCGAGTACAAAGAGCGTGTTGTCGTTGCCATCCGATCTGACAAAAGATCTCACGGCCACACATGTGACCCCGCTGAAAAATAGTACTCCCAAACCAGAACTAAACCTCCCCAAGTGGGACACGCGCCCCCTTCCCCCCCCCCCCCCCCCCAACCCCGGGGTCCTACTTTTCAGGAGATGTTAGAGGAAACAGTCAATCAGTCGATACTATTTGTTACTTAGTTCGATTCCTTCTAT